CAGAGTTTAAGATTAGTAAAACAATATATTTTTCCCAGCAGAAGAGTTTCAGCTGAAATTTTAAAAACAAATAAATGCATAAATCACAATTTAGCCCGAGACAGACGCCCAGCATGGACAATTTCAGCCAGAACGTTTAAAGTTTGGCAAAGCTGTAAGAGACTGAAAATCGTCTCATCATGTGAAGTGTGTGGCATACTTCATATGAGGAGATATTATCAGCTGTAAGTAATCCAAGCTGCGCATATAATTCAGAGACATAGATGTTAGGGAAGCAAAAAACAATGTTAATAGGTCAATTAGTGCTACGTCCCAGCCTAAATCGAACTATTGAACAAAAAAACCCACAAAATCGAGTGTCTACTTCAGCGAGTGTCTGAACACTGAAGTTCCCCCCAACACAAGTGAATAATTTAGCTCCTGGTAAATTTATTTAACTCTATGCAGCTGAATTTCCTTGAGACAGGCTGTTGGGTGGCTCTGGAATCCAGAAGCACTTGTCTTCTTGCATCCAATGATCACGCCTTGAGTTGATGTGCTGGAAGTTTCCCTATCAGACACATGCAATAAGCCAAGGGGACCTTTTATTTTTGGTAGTGACCTTATAGCATTAAATGACAAAGCAAATTGCAACATTTGTAAGTGATAAAATTATCCTGTAACCCTTTAAAGTAGATGTCAGCTTGCTGTACCCACAAGGAGTTAATCTATCCCCGGTACATTATGGTCTTTAATAATTGGAAGCGATTGGCCAAAGTGCTGTAAACCTGGCAGAAATTTGTTGCCTTATTTTCTGCAAACCACAAGCACAGCTTATTAATTGAGAAATGAACATTAACCGGCATTAAGCGAGCATCTGTAAACTGCAAAAGAGCAATGACCACGGTACGCGTTCAGCTGGAAACGGCAGAGCTGCAGAGCTGCAACAGGTAAAATTGGTTTTTAAGCACGAATGCAAAACCATTTTAGGCGGCTGCTGGCAAATGCCCAAGTCTAGGGTTTTTAATGAGGCTTCTGCATCAAAATAAGTGAAACCACATGGAATTTTAATTGTTCTTATTCTAAATATGAAACACACTGGAGCAGTATTCTTGAATCTAGGATGTTAGCATATATATTGGCAGATTAACATGACCACTTTTCTGTTCTAAACGTACAGCTCTCAGAAAACTTGAGTGCCAGGTTACTTTTGGGAGCAATCAGCCTGAAAGATTGAAAAACAGTTTAACCTGGACTCTTTCAGATGTAAAGGTTTTGGTTTTTTATTAAATAGACTTCTTTTTTTTTTTTTTTTTGGTACTGTCAAGCGCAGTGAGCTGCTCAGAGTGTATAGGGAAAGAGAATCACTTGCTGTGCTTGTGGCCGTGTTTCTCTTTCTGGCGGCACAAAATAAAGTCTCTTCTCTGTAAAGAAGGGTGGTTTCACAATCTTGCGGCCACGATGTAGGGTGGAGGATCTGCACTTCACCCGTTTAATGCAAGCTATCACGAGAGTGGGAATTCACCCATGCAAATTGTTTTCTTGCTCTGACAGAGGAAAAATTAGCATACATCTTTAATCCTGCCGGGGAGAGGAATAAATACATTATTTACTTGCACTGTCATGTTACTATATTGCTGATCGACATCGCTATTTGTGCACGAGCAGATATACAAAGATGGGTGCCATACCCAGAGGAACTATTTCTTTTCCCAGTCCAGCCAAGAACTAGCCATATATAAATGAATATACATCTGGTGTTTCCAAGTCAGAACAAAAATCAACCTTAACACAAGGAGGTAGCACAGAGAGAGAAGGAGATAGAAGAAGAGGAGGGTGAAAATGCGCCAGTGAGATCACATAGCGATGAGGATGGCAAGAAGCTGAGTTTCAGAGGCAACTTTTAAAAAAGTTTCTAGTCTCACTTGGAAAGAAGACTTTAGAACAGGCATCACAGAAAACTTCTGACCTCCAAAAAATGTCTTTACACCGTGGAGGTTCGGAAGGCTGGGAGCATATCTCAGGGGGTTATGGAGACACCAAAAGTCATTTGGGCAAAAGCAGGGTTGGAGAAGTGAGTGTGCAGGAGCTGTGCAGACATGACTTTTTAAAAAGTTTCTAGACTCACTTGGAAAGAAGACTCTAGAACAGGCATCACAGAAAACTTCTGACCTCCAAAAAATGTCTTTACACAGTGAAGGTTTGGAAGGCTGGGAGCAAATCTCAGGGGTTATGGAGACACCAAAAGTCATTTGGGCAAAAGCAGGGTTGGAGAAGTGAGTGTGCAGGAGCTGTGCAGACACAGCCATGAGTGAGATAAGAAAGGGTTATGGTTATTTGGCCTTTGGGTAAATGGGACTGTGCTTTACAAGCAACAGTAAAAACAAACAAGTGTGGATTTACTAGGGTACGTAAGGAGGTCTGTAGCCCCACGTTGGAAATGCCTACGTGTGGTGTGCACATTCTCAGCCATTCAACACATACATGGTCTCTTGGCAGCACCCATACAGATAATATTTGGATCTAGCCCTGAAAGGAAGATTGCCTTTTCATGTGTAAAACTGTGTAGATAGTTTGTTATGAAGAAAAAAAATAAATATTGGTTGCAAAGAAACCAAAAATGCCAATGATGTTCTACACCCTTACACTCATACCAATTCTACCTTTGATTATAAAAGTCTTGTTTAGCTTCTATCAGGGTAAACTTAGAGCAACTCTGTTCATGTTGAGAGAGTTGCAATAACAATAAAAAAAAAAAAGAGTATAAGCAGTAGCAGATTGAAACTCAGTATTTTGAGCAGCTGGGGAAATTATGTTCTAACCTTATATTTCCAGATACGTATCAGACCTGTTCACAATATAAAGGATAGTGTTCCAAAATTACAGCTTTGAATCTGGGTGGTATCGCCTCTGGCTATTGTTTGCAGTTGGGAAAGAAAGAAGTTGCATCAAGTAGTAGAGTGTTTGCTGTAAAGGTACAAGTTATATTACATTCCACGGGGCTGTGGTTGGAGGGGTTGATGATGGAGACAGACCCATTCACCCCTAGGTCACTGATTCAGTTCCAGATAAAGATAATAGTAATCACATTGTCATCAGAGTCAGAAATGGGCTTTTACTGCCCATTTAAAGTTCTGTACTCAATAACTTTTGAGATGGCAGATTATAATCCCCAGGTTTCAGACTGTGTGATTTGGACGCTTGGCTGGCTGTGGCCCAGGTCCTCCAGCCTGAACCCAAGCTGTGCCTGAGCTCTGCCCCACTGCTGCTTTTAGATATCGTTGAAGGTGTGGGTTAAATGAGCTGGTAGAACAGGAGGGAACAGTGATCTAAATCACAAAATGTGCCACACAAGGTGGCGGGGGCTGTTGAGTCTGTGGCTTATATTAACAACCACCATTGTGGGTGCTGTAGGGGGCCAAGGGCAGGAGGGCTGGAGAGACCTTCCTTCTACCCAGCAGTGTCAGCAGCTCAGATCCAAAGCCTGTCTACAAGGAAAAGCATTGCTGCATCTTACACTGAGAACAAACAGGTTGTTTCAGTGTTTAGCACGTCAGTTTGGCATCAAGAAGGTGCTGTATTTTCCTTTTAGGTTAATCAGATTCGGTGGATTGACACCAAGCAGTGCAGTTAGGAGTAGCAGAGTAGTGGAATCTCTTGGATTTACCCAAGAGATGGGTGAACCCTTGGGTCTAGAGGACTGTAAAGTTGAAGAAGTGTTGGCTGGGAAGCACAAGGAGAGCTTCTTGGATTTAATTATTTTTCCCCTTTGTTTATATCCCGCTCTTTCCAGTTCACTCATTATAAAAATGTATATTTGTATCTAATGCATACTGGCCTCTTGCACTGAGCTTCTTCATTAGGCTTTTTCTCTTTCCCCCTGTCTCTTTTCCCACACCCTTTTTGTTTTCCACTCTTCTGGCTCTCAACACGAGCTTTCACCATCTTTTTCTTCTGCTCCTGTCCATCTCCCACAGTCTCCTAAGCAGGTCACCAAGCTACTAACGTTTGCTTTCCAGTTCTGCTCCGAGACTTTGGGTGTTTGATGTGGGATTAGAAATTAGGCAAAATGAGTTTACCCATCCCTGTTTTGCGTTAGACTCCAATTCACAGCGTTACCATCCAGACGTTCACAGTAGCCATAAACTGTGTGGTCTTTTTTTTTTTATTTTTCAACCAGACTGCACAGACTACGTATGAAAACAACTTTTTTTTTCAATGGCAAAACCAGCGTTGGGCTTGTAATTTTCCATCGACTGCACTGAAAAATAAAATTTGCATCTTTGCTATCAGCTCAGTGGCCTTGCCCGTCCTTCGGATCCAGCAAATAATATTTTTCAGCCATAGGAAGTAGCTGAGCAGAATCTCACCTAAATATTTAAGGCAAAAAAAAAATGTAGGCAAGAAGTGGGGCTTAGTCACCCCCGGTGTAACTCCCCTGGTGTCAGTGGTGCAACTAACTTGGTGTTGCCAACTCTTGTAGTTTTATTACAAGTTGCACGGTAATTTCTGCTTTTCTTCAAACCCCAGCTCCCGACGGCGTGTGCTGAGGTGGGAATCTCAGCTTTCGTGTGCAACCAGACCTGATTTTCTCAAGAGGCTCTAGCAAAAACCCAGAGACATGTAACCACCAAAGCTCAGAACCCAGAAGGCAAATCAAGTCCAAATCCACCTTTCTCTTTTTGGCTCTTTTTCAATCTCGAGATTTTTGAGATTTTTGAGATTTTTGAGATTTTTTTTCCCCCGGCCTGACTTGTGACCTTTCAATGCTTTGGGTTGGCAATGCTGCTCCCTCCATCGGCATCAGTGGAGTTGGACCAGGGATGAGTTTGGCCCAGCGCTTGTAGAAGACAGGTGTATGACTCTGTTCCTTGCAATGTATTATTTGATATGATCTGCTGTTCTCTTGGGGGCCAAAAGAAGTGGGTTTTCTTAGAAAAAAATAAAATTCTATCATCACGTGGTACAAAAAATGGTATTTACAGAATTGTTTTCCCCCGTCTTTTGTTATAATTTTTTAGGTGCTTCAGAGCTGGGCCCATTTTCAGACCCCAGGCAGTTCACAAGCATTTCATCCCTCACTGAGAGCCGCTTCTCCAACCCACGAATGCACTATCCAGCCACCTTTACCTATACACCGCCAGTCACCTCAGGCATGTCACTGGGTATGTCCGCAACCACTCACTACCACACCTACCTACCACCACCCTACCCCGGCTCTTCCCAAAACCAAAGTGGACCTTTCCAGACCAGCAGCACTCCATATCTCTACTATGGCACTTCGTCAGGATCATACCAGTTCCCCATGGTGCCGGGAGGGGACCGCTCCCCCTCCAGGATGCTTCCTCCGTGCACCACCACGTCCAACGGCAGCACGCTGTTAAACCCTAACTTGCCCAACCAGAGTGACGGGGTGGAGGCCGATGGCAGCCACAGCAGCTCCCCAACCGTCTTGAATTCTAGTGGCAGAATGGATGAGTCCGTTTGGAGGCCCTACTGAGATTTCTTCCGTAGCCGGCCCGACCTCCGCCAGCCAAAAAAAAAAAAACCAAAAAACCAAACCAAACCAAACCAAACCAAACAAACGGTCGACTAACTACGAAGTGCCTGGTTTTTGTGTTTTCGTTTTTTTTTTTTTTAAAAAAAAAAAAAAAAGAAAGAAAAAGATTTTACTGATATGTGCAACTGTGTAGATGGGATGATAATGGCCATAAATAACACAAGAGTTACCAACACGTCACAGCCCGTGTTTCAGATTATGTGGATCAAAGCACATATTTTTATTTTTTTTTTTCCTTGGAACCATTTTACCTTGGTTTATATTTAAAATGTACTTTTTACACACACACACAAAAAATCACCCCCTCCTTCTAGAGTGTTGTAATAACTAGCGAGTACTTTTGCCAATGAGGAGAGAACGGACTCCCCGGCTATTAGGAGAAACATGGTGATGCAAGGCAAAGGCTGCATTCCCTTTTCTTTTTTAATTAAAAAAAAAACCAAACAAACAAACCAACAACAACCTAACCATGAACTCCAGATACAGTTGCAATCATACAACGTATGGGACCCTCATCACGCCCGTAGTGCAATTCAACTGGCTTGTATTGGTGCACATAAAAAAGGAAAGCAAAGATGGAGTTGCTTCCATTTTGCCATGATGCGTTCAGATGAAAATAGCTGTCCCAAAACAACCTCTGTCCGAGCCTTGCTGCAGATAACAGTTGGAACTTCTCTGTGTTCATCGCTTTTTTTTTTTTCCTTTTTTTTTTTTGTGGTTTGATTTTGGGTACTTAAAGAGAACGAGTCTTCAAGTTAGGCTAGACAGACAACCCTGGGGTTTCCTTTTTTGCTTTTGTGTCCGTTCATTTTGCCTTCGATTAGCCAAAAAACCAAAAAAATAATAACCACCAAAACCTTTAAAAACAAAAACCGAAATGTTATTACTTATGCAAAATATGAAAATGGCAATATATATTACTACAGCCAAAATGGTATACATAGTATTTGTGTTCGGCTATGTTCTTTTTTATTTTTTTTTAAATTATAAATGTGTAAAATTTGAGGTTGTTTGCTAACATGAATCATCATATAACTTTAAAAGAATATTTATAATTATTTAATGACATTTGGACCCTTTAAACGTTTCTTAATGTAATGATATATTGACTTCGGTCTCTAAAAGTGTTTTTGGGTTTTTTTTATTTTTTACTTATTACACTTCTGCAATGGTCTAAACCTCAAACCTTTACCCAACTCTGAAAAGCAGTTCCAGTGTGAACCAGTTTACAATGTGACTTAAAAAACGACAAACCCAACCTAAATGCATCCACATCAAATGATTTTGGATGTAGGATCTTTTTATATAACTTATGAAGGAAATATTGTGTTTAAAATATTTTTATTAGCTGTCTGGTTGCCTTCAACACAGTCTTGCCTTTTAATCAGTAGTTGTGGAGACACTGGAAAAATGGTAGGAAGGACGAAATATTTTCCACCCTTCCCCTTATTTCTTCTTCTCCCGGGATTTTTCTCAGAACTTCAAAATTTGAAAATATTCCTATTTAAAATGTTCTGGTTTGACAGCACGATTTGAATCTCGACAGGGTTTATTTTTTTGCCCAAAGAAAAATCAAAACCGTTTCAAAGCCCGTATTTCACACGTTAAGGAATGGTTAAATATCTCAGAAATGGGAGTAAGGGAGAATTGGTGAAACTTTTTCCCCTCCCCTTGCCATTTCAGCCCACTCGATGGAATCAAAAGGTTCAAAACTTGAGACAGAAGCTGCCTGGTAGCGCATCGCCGCCCCCCTTTAGCATTAAATGCTCGAGCCGTGAGGATGCTGGGTTGACTTTGAAGCCCATGTGGCTGTTGCCATGTTAGAGAGACAAGCCCGAGGGCGGCCATACCCACCTCTGCAAACGCTGAAGATAAAACAAAGTCACCTTAAAAGCCACCCTGGGGCTCCCAGGTGTGATACAGGGAGAGCAAATTGCACCCAAAACCGCTAACTCTCCAGAGTAGGAGGCCAAATTTTGCCCAGCCCGGGGCTGCCACGGCAAACGGGGATGCGACGTGGCATGGGCTGGATGCGGTGGGAGTCGAGCCGCCCTCCCCACCTCATCCCCAAAGCAGGGGATGTTGAGCCTGGTTTAGAGGGATGTTCAGCATCTCCTGATGGGGTTTGCCAGCGCTCCCTCCTTCCCTTGCCATAGACATCACCATCCTCAGCCACCTTGAGAGGGCTGCTGGCCACCAAGCCTTGGCTGGTCTTTGGCTACCTCCAAAGTCTTGCCGTAACCCAACGGTGGGCATGGCCATCCCGAGCCGGACAACATCCTCACCGCTCGTTAATAGCGAAGCTGTTAAACGAGTTGCCATTAGCACGGTACATCCCTCCAATTTGCGTGACGACGCGCTCTTAAAAAAAAAAAAATAAATTAATTAAAGTCTTTGCCTTCTAAAGGTTGTATACCAAGTATGCTTAAAGTATAAGTAAGACACTTTTTTTTTTTTTCTTCTAATACTTAGTTTTCCTTCAAAGATGGAAGCTGTAATTGATTCTATTTATTGTTGGTTTGTGGTAGCTTGAAGCATACCACTGTCCATTTATTTGTAACTGTAAAATACGTTTGTTAGTCTCAGCAGCACTTAAAAAGCCAGTGTCTGGTTACACATTTCAGTTTTGTTTTTTGTTTAGTAAGCAAGAGAAAAAGATGTACTGCCAGTGCAAGCTGTTTCCTATTTAATAAAAGGTACTATATTTGTACATTATTTGTTATTGCTGAGAAGGGCTTTTTAAGGTTTACTGTATGCATATTAAGTAATTTTTAGGGTGCTTTTGTGTTGAAATGTTGTTAAGAGTGGCTGCAGGCAGCAACCCAGATTTTTCTTTTCTTTTTTTTTTTTTTTTTTTTAAGACTTTGTTGTAAAATTCAAGCACTTGGTTTTTGTTTCTGGATAAATCCAGCACAGACCAGACTTTTGTTTTGCTCAGTACCGACAGGACCCTCTTTGTGTCCCCCGCGGTTTTTCAACTGGACCATTAGGGACAGACGTTGAAAACGTTTTCTCCTCCTGGTCGAGGTGCGTGTGCCCGGTCCGTGCCCTCAGCTTCCCTGGCCGGGCGGGCGGGCGTCTGGCTCTGCCTGCTCCAGTTAGGAAGGAAAGGATTTTCTAAGGACCTACAGATGGAGGAGCACCAGCCCCTTGACTTTCAGTAGACCTCTGTGCTCCTGAACCCTCCTGGTGCCTTTGGGAAACCTCTCCCGGTCCGTCAGGCTGGGCACGGCGGGGGTCGGACAGGCCGAGGCAGAGATGCTCATCCAAGCTTTTGGAAAACGCTTTCGAGTTCGCTCAGAAATGCTCTTGAATCAGGATTTCAGACCAAAAAAAAAACCAACCAACCACCAAACCCCAACCAGCGCTAGGTAGTCAATGCGATCAGGTTGATGGATGTTTTGCGAGGTGCTTGGCATCAGCAGAAAGGAGTTTTCTCAAAGGTACGACGGCCTTTCCCTTCGGCGAGTGGCAATCTTTGGCACCGGTCATAGATTTAAAGATAAAAAAAAATGGCCTTTTTTAAACTTTCCAGCTCTCTTATCCTACCAAAGATTTACTTCCAGCACAACAGGCACAATGTCCCTTTTGCCAAACGGAGGATTAAATCCTCCTCTCCCTCCTCCTAAGAGGAACCAGATCGGGGTCAGCGGGTCGGGAGGGATGAGTAAAGCAAATTATTTACCCCACAGCGTCATTTGTGTGGCCTTTATCGTTTCTCTTAGAAGACCAGCTGCTGTGTCTTTCTTAGCATTGGACGTTTTGGTTTTGCCAGCAGTCCCCCGAGCAAAGATTTACCGGTTTCCACAAGTTACCATCTCCAAGTGGGGAAAATTTTGCACTTTCACACTTAGCAAAGCGAAGCCCAGCCCCGCGCCGGGGGGGGCTCCATGCGCCCAACAAGCCATGAGCAAAAAGCAATAATTCAAACCTGGATCAGCCATGAGCTCAAAGAAGCCCCATTCTCTGAACCCCTGAGTTTCTTGTTGTTTTTAAATAGAATGCATTTCATTTTAACATTTTCTGAGAACTTTTTTTAGATGTTTGTTTACTTCCATGTTTACAGATAACTCTTTGCTTTTTTTTTTTTTTTTAATGCAGTACTTTTAAGTATATCAGCCAAAACCATACTTTTACAGTAACTTTTGTCTTAGGTAATATGAGTGACATTCCAATTTTTTTTTTTTTGTTGTTAAATATGCTTTACCAGTCTCGAATTTCCGCTGGAACAAAATATTTGTAGCATTTTGTGTAAATACAAGCTTTAATTTTTTATTTTTTCAAATGCTGTCACCCGAGGTTTGCTTTTCATGCACATATTGTACAAACACACTCTGCTTTATGCCACAGACGATGATTGTGGATCAGTTTACTTCAACTTCAAAGGGACTATTTGTATTGTATGTTGCAACTGTAAATTGAATTGTTTGGCATTTTCTCATGATTGTAATATTAATTTGAAGTTTGAATTTCATTTTCAATAAAATGGCTTTTTTTTTTGTTAACGTTCTTCTATGCTTCTTTTTCTTCCACTCTCTCCTCTTAGCCCCAGGCAGGGTAAAGTAAGAACATGGTAGGACACGGTACCAGCCCTTCCGTGGTGGCCCCATCAATTTCTATAGCATTTAAATTTTCAATTAAATACAAAAAGCGAGTTTCCAGGCCTATGGGTGGTAAAGTACACCTTCTAAATCTGATCTCAAATGTTCCTTCTTTTCCTGAGTCTGCAAACTGTCAAACCCTGAGTGCAAACTGCTCCATTCATCTTGCTAGACCGTTAACTCTGAAACCTAACGATGACGTTTGCCGGGACATTCTGATGCTGCGGCGCTGCAGGCACAGCTTGAAGTATAGGAAAAGCTGGGAGACATTTCCAGACTGGGAAGGGGGAGGGATTGGGGTTTATGGTGCTTTTCCAGGATGGGGGTTACGCTATTCCC